TTCCTTCCTTCCTTCCTTCCTTCCTTCCTTCCTTCCCTCTTTCTCTGTTTCTTTCATGACAGAGTCTTACTCTGTTGCCAGGTTGGAATGCAGTGGCCTGATCTCAGCTCACTGCAACCTCCATCTCCCGGGTTCAGGTGATTCTCCTGCCTCAGCCTCCCAAGTAGCTGGGATTACAAGAATCTGCACACCTGGCTAATTTTTGTATTTTTAGTAGAGATGGGGTTTCACCATGTTGGCCAGGATAGTCTCGACCTCTTGACCTCGTAATCTGCCCTCCTCAGCCTCCCAAGTATTGGGATTACATGAGCCACAATGCCTGGCCAGGAGATGCCATTTCTATAAAAAATAATAATAAGTTAGCTGTGCATGATGGTGCAAGTCTGTAGTCCTAGCTACTCAGGAGGCTGAGGCGAGAGGATGGCTTAAGCCCAGGAGTTCGAGGCTGCGGTGAGCTATGACTGTGGCACTGAACTCTAGCCTGGGCAGAAAGCAAGACCTGTCTTGAAAAAAACAGCAGGATGTGGTAGATCATGCCTGTAATCCCAGAAGTTTGGGAGGCTGAGGCAGGTGGATCACCTGTCAGGAGTTTGAGACCAGCGTGACCAATATAGTAAAACCCTATCTCTACCGAAAATACAAAAATTAGCCAAGCGTGATGGTGTGTGCCTGTAGTCCCAGCTACTTGGGAGGCTGAGACAGGAGAATTGCTTGAACCCAGAAGGTAGAAATTGTAGTGAGCTGAGATCGCACCACTGCACTCCAGCCTGGGCGACAGAGAGAGACTCCGTCTCAAAGAAAAAAAAATTAGGTGAACTCCAGAGCCATCCTTTCAAGGGGTCCAAAAAAATCTTTATTTAAACCAGCCCTTTAGATGATTCTGATTCAAATATCCAGGCATAATGGAGGTACCTTAAAACAGATAGGTTAAGGCTAGACACGGTGGCTCATGCCAGTAATCCCATCACTTTGGGAGACCAAGGTGGGTGGATCACCTGAGGTCTAGAGTTCCAGACCAGCCTGGCCAACATGGTTAAACCCCATTTCTAGCTGGGCACGGTGGCACGTGCCTATGGTCCCAGCTACTCGGGAGGCTGAGGTGGGAGGATCGCTCGAGCCCAGGAGTTCTGGGCTGTAGTGTGCTATGCCAATCGGGTGTCCGCACTAAGTTTGGCATCAATATGGTGACCTCCCGGGAGCGGGGGACCACCAGGTTGCCTAAGGAGGCGTGAACTGGTCCAGGTCGGAAACGGAGCAGGTCAAAACTCCTGTGCTGATCAGCAGTGGGATTGTGCCTGTGAATAGCCACTGCACTCCAGCCTGGGCAACATAGCAAAACCCCATCTCTTTAAAAAAAAAAATTAAAATTAAAAAAAAAAAAAAGGAACCCCATCTCTACTAAAAATACAAAAAAATTAGCCAGGTGTGATGGCAGATGCCTGTAATCCCAGGTACTTGGGAGGCTCAGGCAGGAGAACTGCTTGAACCTGGGAGGTGGAGGTTGCAGTAAGCTAAGATCGCACTGCACTTCAGCCTAGGTGGCAAGAGCAAAACTCCATCTCAAAAAAAAAAAAAAACCACACACACACACACACACACACACACACACACACACACAAAAGCCAGATGGGTTAGGAGGGTATTTCCATATTGCAGTATCATTGTGTTTTTTTGTTTTTGTTTTTCGAGATGGAGTCTTGCTCTGTTGCCTAGGCCGGAGTACAGTGAGTGGTGTGATCTTGGATCACTGCAACCTTTACTTCGTGGGTTCAAGCGATTCTCCTGCCTCAGCCTCCTGAGTAGCTGAGATTACATGCACCCGCCACCATGCCCAGCTAATTTTTGTATATTTAGTAGAGATGGCATTTTACCATGTTAGCCAGGCTGGTCTCTAACTCCTGACCTCAGGCAATCTACCCGCCTCGGCCTCCCAAAGTGCTAGGATTATAAACGTGAGCCACCACAGGGTTTCACCATATTGGCCAGGCTGGTCTCAAACTCCTGACCTCAGATGATCTGCCTGCCTCAGCCCCTCAAAGTGCTGAGATTACAGGTGTGAGCCACCGTGCCTGGCTGATACTGCAGTATCTTCAGAGAGTGTTGATCTGAACTAGATAGAGTTAGTCTTCCTACTTTGCCCTATCACACATCTAAGGACTTAAGCCTCTTCCTCCCAAAGAAGACCTACAGAAGCCCAACAAATCCAGCTCCATCCAGAGGCCGAAAAAAGTAGATGTGGTAGGCATTTAGAAGGTGGAATACACAAGACTTGGCGACTGATTGTATGGGGAGTGTGTGAAGGAGAAGAGGAAGTGAGGAATGTCCCTCGCCTTTCTACCTTGGGGCAGCTGCTGTAGTGGTGTGTCACTCAGTCTAAGAGTGGTAGGTTGGCCAGGTACAGCGGCTCACGCCTGTAATCCCAAGCACTTTGGGAAGCTGAGGTGGGGGTGGGGGGGCTGAGGGGGAAGGGATCATGAGGTCAGGAGTTCAAGATCAGCTTGGCCAATATGGTGAAATCCTGTCTCTACAAAAAATAGAAAAATTAGCCAGGCATGGTGGTACACTCCTATAGTCCCAGCTACTCAGGAGGCTGAGGCAGAAGAATCACTTGAACTCAGGAGGCAGAAGTTGTCATGAGCCAAGATCGCACCACTACACTCCAGCCTGGGTGACAGAGCAAGGCTCTGTTTCAAAAAAAAAAAAAAAAAAAGGCCAGGTACGGGGGCTCATGCCTGTAATCCCAGCACTCTGGGAGGCTGAGGCGGGTGGATCACAAGGTCAGGAGTTCAAAACCAGCCTGGCCGCCGGGCGCGGTGGCTCAAGCCTGTAATCCCAGCACTTTGGGAGGCCGAGGCGGGTGGATCACGAGGTCAACAGATCGAGACCATCCTGGTCAACATGGTGAAACCCCGTCTCTACTAAAAATTACAAAAAAAAAATTAACTGGGCACGGTGGCGCGTGCCTGTAGTCCCAGCTACTCGGGAGGCTGAGGCAAGAGAATTGCCTGAACCCAGGGGGCGGAGGTTGCGGTGAGCCGAGATTGAGCCATTGCACTCCAGCCTGGGTAACAAGAGCGAAACTCCGTCTCAAAAAAAAAAAAAAAAAAAAAAAAAAAAACCAGCCTGGCCAACATGGTGAAACCCTGTCTGTATTAAAAACACAAAAATTAGCTGGGCATGGTGGCACATGCCTGTAATCCCAGCTACTTGGGAGGCTGAGGCAGGAGAATTGCTTGAACCCGTACCCAGGAGGCGGAGGTTGCAGTGAGCCAAGATTGCACCACTGCACTGCAGCCTGGGTTACAGAGCAAGACTCTGTCTAAAACAGAGTGGTAGTTCAGGAAGAAGGACCCCTGAGGAAGGTCAAGTGAGGAGTTTTAGTTGAGAGTTGCTGAGTTTGAGGTGCCTCTGGGACATCCAAGTAGAGATGTTCAGAAATCAACTGAAAACTCAGAAGAAAGATATGGACTAGAAAGAATAGATTGGAGGATCATTAGCAAATAGACGGTAACAAAAGTAGGTGAAATCATCCTCGGAAAAGGAACAGAGTGGTAAAAGGATCTTGACGAAAACCCTAAGGAACAGTCAAAGGAAGGACTGAGTAAGAAAAAAATTACAGAAAGAACAAAGGACAGGCTAGTGATGAGAGGAAAACTTACCTCCTGCAAAGTTCAAGAGAAGGAGTGACAAACTGTGAAACATTCTGGATTCAGCAAAGAAGTCTGTGGTGACCTTGTGGAGAGCAGTTTTAGTGGAACTTTGGGGACAGCACCAGATTGCAGTGGGTTGAGGAGTGAGTGGGAGGGGAGGGGTTGGAGACAGCTGGCAGGGACATTTTTTTTCAAGCTGTTTGGCCAAGAATGGAGAGAGATAGGATGGTAACTTAATAGAATTGAAAGCTTTTTTTTTTTTTCTGTGCTAACGGAGGAGAGGAAGAAGATTCAGGGACAAAAGGAAATTATAAAGCTCATGGGGAGGAACAAGGCAGTGTACACGTATTGCGACTGTTCTTCAGACAGGAGGGATGCATGTCTAAGTTTTAGCTGCATGAAAGGAGGAAAAGATGAATTGGCTGGAAGCTCAATTGTTGGGTAGTTCTTGCTTATGGATTGCTTCCTCTTGGAAGACAGGCCATGAGTAAGGAGTTCGTTCAATGAATACATGCATATTTTCTCCCAGCTAGTCAAAGTCTAGGGTTACCAGCAGGAGAGAAGAAGACACTGCAGGCCGGGCGCGGTGGCTCACACCAGTAATCCCAGCACTTTGGGAGTCTGAGGCGGGCCGATCACAAGGTCAGGAGATCGAAACCATGCTGGCTAACACGATGAAACCCTAGCTCTACTAAAAATACAAAAAATTAGTCAGGGGTGGTAGCACACGCATGTAGTCCCAGCTACTTGGGGAGGCTGAGGCAGGAGAATCGCTTGAACCCAGGAGGTGGAGGTTGCAGTGAGCTGAGATCAGACCACTGCACTCCAGCGTGGGCGACAGAGCGAGACTCTGTCAAACAAAATAAAAAATAAAAAAAGTAAGGCACTGCACTTGAGGCAAAAGTCGGGTTGGAAGCAGGTTGAGGCTGACTGAGAGGAAGTATGATGTTCCTCTAACCATGGGAGGGCTGCTGGTCCATTGAAGGAGAGAGATTTTTTCCAGAACCGCATGCTGGGGCTTTGATTTAGGATCCTCCTTCCTCCTCTAGTCAGTCTACTTTCCCTGGCCTACGGCTCACGTCTAAGGCCTAGAGCCTACTGGTTCCCACCGAGGACCAGCTGGAAGCCATTTTGATTATGCTCCACCACGAAGGAGGACAATACAGCCCCGCCCAGAGCCGGGCGCGCCCCCGCGGCGGGTCGGGTGCGCGTGTCCGCGTCTCTTCCCGCCAGCTGGGCGGGCGCCTGGCCCAGGACGCGGTGGCGCGGGGCGGGGGGCGGGGGTGGTTATGTAAGCGTTGCGCGCTCCCGCGAGGCGACAGCCAATGGGAGGCTCCGGCGGCTCGTGCTCGCGCACGTAGGGTGGGGGGAGGGAGCGCACGACGTGCGCGCACCCTCTCCCTCGTCCACCGCTGCCGCCTCCTTCTTCTGCCGCTCCTGGTGCTGCTTGTGTGCTCGTTCGGTGCGGACCTGGTACCTCTTTTGTGAAGCCGCAGCTGAAGAGACTCCGGCGCTCGCCATGGCCGACGAAAAGCCCAAGGTGAGCTCGGCGCCGGCCTCTTCGCCTCGACGCGCGGTTGGGGTTACGGCGCGGGCCGGGGTCCGGCCGGAGCCCGCCGCTGGTTCCCAGTGCTTTCCCGGGCCCCCCACGGGGCCGGCCGCGGCTCAGGCCCCGGCGCTCCGCGCCATTTTCTTCCCTCCCTCTCTTCCTCCCTCCCGCGCTGGAGGAGGCCCCGCCGCCCTCCCCCGCCCCCGGCGGCCTCCGAGTGCGCGCGGGGCGCGAGTTGGGCGGGCAGATCGCGGACGCCCGCGGGCCCACCAGCTCGGAGCCGGGTTTCTCGGCCCGGCCAGCCGGCGCGCGTGAGGAGGGGCATTGGGTCGCTCGGGGTCTCCACCCTCCGCCGACCTCGCGTCGGGTGTTGCAGTCTCTGAGGCGGCGGGGAGTCCCCTGGGCTAGGGGCTTCACGTCTTAGGGGTGGGGGCCGCGGGCATCTGAGGACTCCTGCCCGATGCCGCGGCGGCGGGGCGAGAGTTCAGGGCGAATCAATGGGTTGCTGATGGGCAGGATCCTGGATGCCCGCTTGCCGCCGTCCTGAGCGTGGGGATTGGGGGATTCCTGAGGAGTATTTCCCACTTTAACGGCATCAGGGGCCTGAGGGGGGAGGGGGAGCGGCTTTTCCTCGGTGCCAGCGAACCCGTAATCCGCGAAGACCATGTGGTTTCGTGAAGTTGGAGGCACAGGTACGAGCAGAGAGACTTTGTGGGGCTTAACTTTTGAACGCGACTTTTGAGGCGCCCGGAGACTTCCCGGGAGGACTGGGAACACCCATCATCGGGGCACACGGGACTTGCTGTTTTTAGTTGGTGACACCCCCGGCCTCCCTCGCCTTTACTTTCTGGAGCGATTTAGGGCTACAGAATTCCTTCTACACTCGATTTTGGACAACTTCAGGTTGGGTCGAAATCTACAAGAAACACTTGGAATAAAACTGTGTATTTGACCCATGACAACAAAGGGGAGGGGAGAATAAGTGCATTAACCGAAAATAAAAATGAAGCTGCTAATAGAGGAGAATGTTGACCGTGGTCCTGAGTATTAGTGCTGTTCCGGGGGAAATCAGGATCTTCTTCGGTTGTTTTTTTGTTTGTTTGTGTGTGGATTTAGGTTATTAAACTGAGTTTGGTAACTTGAACGGTAATGAGTTTTGAATGGCAGGCTCTAGATTTATTGTTTTGTTTCTTGCAGTTGTACTTAAAGTGCTTGGAAAAGAGAAAGTACTCTTATTTTTAACTTTTTTAGGGGGGAGATATATATATTTTGGGAGTGATATGAAGTATATCATTTTGGAAAATTTTGCTCTAAGAAAACGTTGCAATACCCTGAATAGGACCCAACTTTAAACATATATTGTTGTTACTGATAGTATTGCATGTAGGCTTTTCTGTATCTGTGACAGCTGTCTGATACTTTTGCTGCAGGATTTTTCCTCTTTCACATTGATTTCAGCAGCTCAAAACAGCTGTATGCCGTTTTAGCATACGGTATGGGAAACCTGTTGATTTTTGAAGCAACTAGGGTTGCTGCTGCTTTATAAAACATGTTTGTTGATCACATTTCCCAAATTATACTTTTATTTTTCTTTTAACAGGAAGGAGTCAAGACTGAGAACAACGATCATATTAATTTGAAAGTGGCGGGGCAGGATGGTTCTGTGGTGCAGTTTAAGATTAAGAGGCATACACCACTTAGTAAACTAATGAAAGCCTATTGCGAACGACAGGTGAGGAATTCATATGTGTACTTCCACTGAATAAAACTATTTGTAAAAATCTTATGGAAACAAAAACTAGATGAGCATACTACTGCAATGACTTTCTGATGGGATGAATATGCACTTGGCATATCAATTTTCTTGCACACTTGGTATATCGATTACTCATGAAAACCCTTAAGATGATTTGGTTAGTATTATATGTGGTTCCAGTCCTGTGCCAGAAATGCATCAAATTATATTTACAATACTTGGTTTTTTACCAAGGAAATGTGTTTATAAGAAAATAAGAATGAACTTGATAAAATTACTTAGCAGGCTTTTATTATCTTATATTTTTGAGAGGAGTTTGATTCTTGTTGCCCAGGCTGTAGTACTAAGGCACAATCTTAGCTCACTGCAACCTTCACCTCCTGGGTTCAAGTGATTCTTTTGCCTCAGCCTCCCAAGTAGCTGGGATTACAGGTGCCCACCATCATGCCCGGCTGATTTTTTTTTTGTATTTTTAGTAGAAACTGTTTTTCACCATATTGGCCAGACTGGTCTCAAACTCCTGACCTCAGGTGATCCACCCGCCTCAACCTTCCAAAGTGCTGGGATTACAGAAGTCATTTTTTTTAAGCTAGAACTTACCTGCTGTGTAATTTTTTTGCTTTTTTTTTTTTTTAGATGGGAGTCTTGCTTTGTCCCCCAGGCTGGAGTGCATTGGTGCGACCTTGGCTCACTGCAACCTCTGCCTCCTGAGTTCAAGTGATTCTCACTCTTCAGCCTCCTGAGTGGCTGGGATTTCAGGCGTGCACGCTGGGCTAATTTTATATTTTTAATAGAGACAGGGTTTTGCCGTGTTTGTCAGGACGGTCTTGAACTGACCTCAAGTGATCTGCTCACCTTGGCCTCTCAAAGTGCTGAGATTACAGCCATGAGGCACCAGGCCTGGCCCCTTGAGATTGTTTTAAATGGGTTCAAAATAGAATAAGGCTTAAACTTATGTAAATTGGGAAATGTAGTTTGAGTTGATACTTAAAAGATGAGTGAAATTAAAAACTTGCTTTAGGCTGGGTACAGTGGCTCATGCCTGTAATCCCAGCACTTTGGGAGGCTGGGGCGGTTGGATCAGTTAAGACCAGCCTGGCCACTGTGGTAAAATCCCATCTCTACTAAAAATATAAAAAAAGTATCTGGTTGTGGTGGTACACGCCCATAATCCCAGCTATGGCAGAGGCTGAGGCTGAGAATTGAATCTGGGAGGTGGAGGCTACAGTGAGCCAAGATGATGCCACTGCACTCTAGCCTGGGTGATAGAGCGAAACCATTTCAAAGGAGGGAGAAAAAAAGAAACTTCCATTAGAATGTTTAAAGTGTTTTTATGCCTAGTGTATTTATATAATAAGAGAATACCTTTGGGAGGCCAAGGCGGGTGGATCACAAGGTCAGGAGTTTGAGACCAGCCTGGCCAAGGTGGTGAAACCCTGTCTCTACTAAAAATAGAAAAAAGAGCTGGGCGTGGTCATGGGCACCTGTAATCCCAGTTACTCAGGAGGCTGAGGCAGGAAAACCGCTTCAACCCAGGAGGCAGAGGTTGCAGTGAGCCGAGATCATGCCACTCCACTCTAGTCTGGACAACAGAGCAAGATTCTATCTCAAAAAGAAAAAAGAAGGCCGGGCGCGGTGGCTCAAGCCTGTAATCGCAGCACTTTGCGAGGCCGAGGCGGGTGGATCACGAGGTCAAGAGATTGAGACCATCCTGGTCAACATGGTGAAACCCTGTCTCTACTAAAAATACAAAAAATTAGCTGGGCATGGTGGCGTGTGCCTGTAATCCCAGCTACTCAGGAGGCTGAGGCAAGAGAATTGCCTGAACCTAAGAGGCAGAGGTTGCACCATTGCACTCCAGCCTGGGTAACGAGCGAAACTCTGTCTCAAAAAAAAAAAGAAAAGAAAAGAAAAAAGAAATTCCTCTGACAGTGGAAGTAAAAGGAAAAAAGGTAAAAAAAGAAAAAAAATACTGTGCTCCTAATTCTTTATCATTATATGTAAACCTTCTTATAGTTCCTTATAAAGATAACCATCTTTTTGTTTTTTTTTGACATAGAGTCTCACTCTCATCCAGGCTGGAGTGCAGTGGTGTAATCTTGGCTCACTGCAAACTCTGACTCCCAGGTTGAAGTGATTCTCCTGTCCCGGCCTCCAGAATAGCTGGTATTACAGGCACATGCCATGGCTAATTTTTGTGTTTTTAGTAGACAGGGTTTTATTGTATTGGTCAGGCTGGTCTCAAACTCATGACCAGGCGTAAGCCACCACGCCCAGCAATATAACATCTTACCTTTAATATATTCTTACTTAAAAATTTTTGCTGAAATTACCCTACATGAACTTACTAATTGTGCTAAATAATTTATATATTGGCATCTACTATATTTGAACACTAGTGCCCCTTCAGGATACAGGGGAATTTTAAAAGGTAATCATTTTGGAGAACTAATGTAGCAAATCTGCATACAAAATAGAAAATCATAGTCTGGGTGCCGTAATCCAGCACTTTGAGGGGCCAAGGCTGGAAGACCAGTCTGGACAACATAGTAAGACCTGATCTCTTAAAAAAACACATTATCTGGGTGTGGTGGTACATGTCTGTTGTCCAGGCTATTTTAGAGGCAGAATTGGGAGGATTGCTTGAGCCTGGGAGGTGTAGGCTGCAGTGAGCCGTGATCGCATTACTGCACTCCAATATGGGCAACAGAGTGAGACCGTCTCAAAACCACAAACAGAATCATGCTTCAGCTTCAGTTTGGTGGTTTTGAATAGGATTCTCTCTTTTTTTTGAGACAGTCTCGCCCTGTCACCCAGGCTGGACTGCAATGGCTTGATCTTGGCTCACTGCAACCTCTGCCTCCCAGGTTCAAGCGGTTCTCCTGCCTCAGACTCCTGAGTAGCTGGGATTACAAACATCTTTTTTTTTTTTTGAGACGGAGTTCAGGCAATTCTCCTGCCTCAGCCTCCTGAGAAGCTGGGATTGCAGGCATGCACCACCATGCCCAGCTAATTTTTTGTATTTTTAGTAGAGACAGGGTTTCACCATGTTGACCAGGATGGTCTCGATCTCTTGACCTCGTGATTCACCCGCCTCGGCCTCCAAAGTGCTGGGATTACAGGCTTGAGCCACCGCGGCCAGCCCTACAGACATCTTGACCAGTATTCTTATGCATGTCTTATTTAACTTTTCTGCAATTACAAAATTTTGCCCTTTTTTCTTTTAAGACAGGGTTTTGCCCTGTTGCCCTTACTCTGCAGTGCAGTGGCAGGATTCTGATTATGGCTCACTGCAGCCTCTGCCTCCCAGGCTCTAGCAGTCTGCTCCCCTCAGGCTCCCAGGTAGTTGGAACTATAGGTTTGTGCTACCATGTAAATTTTTTATTTTTTTTTTGGGACGGGGTCTTGTGCTGTCTGTCACCCAGGCTGGAGTGCAGTTGCGTGACCTCAGCCCACTGCAACCTCTGCCTCCTGGGTTCAAGCAGTTCTGCCTCCAAGTAGCTGGGATTACAGATGCCCACCACCATGCTCAACTAATTTTTGTATTTTTAGTAGAGATGGGGTTTCACCATGTTGGCCAGATTGGCCTGAAACTCCTGTCCTCAGGTGATCTGCCTGCCTGGGATCCGAAAGTACTGGGATTACAGGTCTGAGCCACCACACCTGGCCTTTTTTTTTTTTTTTGGTCTTAATCTTGGTTTACTGCAACCTCTGCTTACCAGGTTCAAGTGATTTTCCTGGCCCAGCCTCACGAGTAGCTGGAATTACAGGCATATGCCACCACACCTGGCTAATTTCGTATTTTTAGTGGAGACAGGGTTTCACCATGTTGATCAGGTTGGCTGGTCTCGATCTCCTGACCTCAGGTGATCTGCCCGCCTCTCAGCTTCTCAAAGTCCTGGGATTACAGGTATGAGCCACCTCACCTGGCCTGGAGAGATTTTCTTCTCTTTTTTTTTTTTTTTTTTTGAGGCGGAGTCTCGCCCTGTTGCCCAGGATGGAGTGCAGTGGTGCAATCTCGGCTCATACTGCAATCTCTGTCTCTCAGGTTCCTAAGTAGCTGGGATTTCAGGTGTCCACCACCACACCCGTCTAATTTTTTGTATTTTTAGTAGAGACAGGGTTTCATCATGTTGGCCAGGCTGGTCTCAAAGTCCTCCCAAAGTGCTGGGATTACAGGTGTGAGCCCCTAACCCAGTCCTGGAGAGACTTTAAATGGGCATTTTTACTTTAAATTTCCCTTCAGTGTCTAACATATTTAAATGTTTGTCTCAAGGTATGTTCTATTAACTTTGTAGCTGTGGTCTGAAAAGCAGTAAAGCTTTTTAAGAGAATGATTTATTGGCCGAGCATGGTGGCTCACACCTGTAATCCTGGCACTTTGGGAGGCCGAGGCTGGTGGATCACTTGAGGTCAGGAGTTTGAGACCAGCCTGGCCAACATGGTAAAACCTTGTCTCTACTAAAAATGTGGGTGTGGTGGCAGGTGTCTAATCCCAGGTACTCTGGAGCCTGAGGCAGGAGAATCACTTGAACTCGGGAGCGGACGTTGCAGTGAGCTGAGATCTCGTCACTGCACTCTGGCCTGGATGAAAGTGAAACTCTAAAAAAAAAGAAAAAAACTTTGGGAGGCCAGGTTGGGTGGATCACCTGAGGTCAGGTGGCAAAACTATCTCTATTAAAAAATACAAAAATTAGCCAGGCGTGGTGGCAGGTGCCTATAATCCTAGCTACCCAGGAGGTGGAGGTGGGAGAATCGCTTGAACCCAGGAGGTGGAAGTTGCAGTGAGCCAAGATCGAGCCACTGCACTCCGGCCTGGGCGACAGAGCAAAGCTCTGTCTCAAATAAATAAATAATGATTTACTGATTTTCAAAAATCTAAGCATACTATATCTTAGAGTTCAAGGAAAATGAGAGGCTGTATGTCGTGGCTCACTCCTGTAATACCAGCACTTTGGGAGGCCGAGGTGGACTGATTCACCTTAGGTCAGGAGTTAGAGACCAGCCTAACCAACATGGTGAAACCCAGTTTCTTCTAAAACTATAATAATTTTCTGGTCATGGTGGCAGGGGCCTCTAATCCTAGCTACTTGGGAGGCTACGGCAGGAGAATCGCTTGAAACTTGAGATGAAGAGTGCAGTGAGCGGAGATTACGCCACTGTACTTCAGCCTTGACAGCAGAGCAAAACTCCATCTCAAAAAGAAAATGAGAATCACCCCAAATCTTTTTACCTACAGCATATGTTAACATGTGTTGATTGTTTATTTAGGTATCTCTTAATATATTCATGGCTAAATATGCATGTAGTTGTATCTAAATATAATGTGTTGATTGTTTATTTAGGTATCTCTTAATATATTCATGGCTAAATATGCATGTAGTTGTATCTAAATATAATGTGTTGATTGTTTATTTAGGTATCTCTTAATATATTCATGGCTAAATACGCATGTAGTTGTATCTAAATATAATTGTTTTAATGCTGTTGATTGCTTTTAAATTCTCTTGTTCAGGGATTGTCAATGAGGCAGATCAGATTCCGATTTGACGGGCAACCAATCAATGAAACAGACACACCTGCACAGGTAAAAATTCTCTCCTAATTAGAAAAACTACTGTTTGTAATTTTTTTCTTCTCTCTTTTGAGACAGAGTCTCGTTGCCCGGGATGGAATGCAGTGGCGCAATCTTGGCTCATTGCAACCTCTACCTCCTGGGTTCAGGCGATTCTCCTGCCTCAGCCTCCTGAGTAGCTGGGATTACAGGTGCCCGCCACCACACCTGGCTAATTTTTTGTATTTTTAATAGTCTGTGTTTCACTGTGTTGGCCAAGCTTGTCTCAAACTCTTGACCTTGTGAGCTGCCCACCTTGGCTTCCCAAAGTGTTGGGATTACAGGCGTGAGCCACTACACCTGGCCTACTGTTTGCAATTTTTTGAACAGCTTTGTTGATGTATTTGAACATTTGAACATTGTAATGTAATTCTTGTAGAGTTCAAAGCAGTAGGCTCAGGAAATGCCAATGGGTTTTATTTATTTTTAATTTTCATTTAATTATTTTTTTAGTGACAAGGTCTCTCTGTTGCCCAGGTTGAAGTGCAGTGGTCTCATTATAGCTCATTGCTGCCTTGGCCTCCCAAAGTGATGGGATTATAGGCAGGTATCAATGTGCCCAACCCACCATTGGTTTGTGGTTTTTTTTTGGTTTTTTGAGATGGAGTCTCACTTGATTGCCTAGGCTGGAGTGCAGTGGCATGATCTTGGCTCACTGCAGCCCTCGCCTCCCGTGCTTAAGCGATTCTCCTGCCTCAGCCTTCCAGAATAGCTGGGATTACAGTCATGCATCACCACACCCAGCTAATTTTTGTATTTTTAGTAGGGATATGGTTTCACGATGTTGGCCAGGCTGGTCTTGAACTCCCCTGCCTGGCTCAGCCTCCCAAAGTGTTGGGATTACAGGCATGAACCACTGCACTTGGCCAGATTCTCAGCATTTTAGTTCTACATGCTGAATTGAATTTTCTTTTATATGTCTTTGTGAATGAAAGGAACTAATGGCCTTCAACTGCCATGTCCCATAGCTTGTTTGACAGGGAGAGCACCTGGTAACAGGTGATTTTTTCCAAACCCTTGCTACAAAATGTGATGTTCTCTGATTCTGTAAATCTTTTTACATACCACTTCATTTTGTTCTGTCACTTTTTTTTTGAGACAGAGTCTCACTTTGTTTCTATGCTGGAGTGCAGTGGTGCGATTCTCTTGCCTCAGCCTCCCGAGTAGCTGGGACTGCAGACGCACACCACCACACCCAGCTAATTTTTGTATTTTTAGTAGAGACAGGGTTTCACCATGTTGGCTAGGATGGTCTCAATCTCTTGACCTTGTGGTTAACCCACCTTGGCCTCCCAAAGTGCTGGGATTACAGGCATGAGCCAATGCACCTGGCCTGTTTCTGTCACTTTTTGTAGGATCAGCTGGGTTGTCTCCTGTGGCAGAGCTCTTAGTGTTTCTTTCTTTTTACCTTCTCAAAGTTCCATTTAAGACTTCCAGTTTTGACCTGGCAAGGTGGCTCACGAGAGCCATTTGCAAGATTACAAAGTGCTTGTAATGCCAGCACTGTGAGGCCGAGGCAGGCGGACTGCTTGAGTCCAGGAGTTCAAGACCAGCTTGGCAACATGGCAAAACCCTATCTGTACAAAAAAATACAAAAATTAGCCAGGGTGTGGTGATATGTGCCTGTAGTACCAGCTACTTCTTGGGGTGAGGCAGAAGGATTGCTTGAGCCCAGGAAGTGGAGACTGCAGTGAACCAAGATTGCCCCACTGCACTTTAGCCTGGATGACAAAGTGAGGCCCTATCTCAAAAAAAAGACTTCCAGTTTTGTCCTGGCTTGGTGGTTCATACCTGTAACCCAAGCACTTTAGGGAACTGACAGAGGCAGGAGTGTTGCTTGAGGCCAGAAATTTAAGACCAGCCTGGGCAACATAGCAAGACCCAGTCTCTACTGGAAAGAAGAAAAAAATAGCTGGGCATGGTAGCATGGTCCAGCCTGGGTAACAGACCCCGTCTCCAGAAAAAAAAAGGCCAGGCACAGTGGCTCACACCTATAATCCCAGCACTTTGGGAGGCCGAGGCGGGTGGATTACCTGAGGTCAGGAGTTCCGGACCAGCCTGGCCAACATAGTGAAACTACCCCGTCTCTACTAAAAATAAAAAATTACTTGGATGTGTTGATGCTCACCTGTAATCCCATCCGAGGTACTCAGGAGGCTGAGGCAGGAGAATCCCTTAAACTAGGGGGAGCTGTAGAGTGTGGTAAAGGGCGGAGGTTGCAGTGAGCTGAGATCATGCCACTTGACTCCAGTCTGGGCAAAAGAGTGAAAGTCCGTCTCAAACAAAACAAAACAAAAACCGCAATTACGGTATGTAGCCACAAGGAGGAGCTAAATTCTATTGATAAATGAGGCTGGGACAGGAACTTCATTTTTTTTTTTTTATTTTTTTGAGACGGAGTTTCGCTCTTGTTAACCAGGCTGGAGTGCAATGGCACAATCTCGGCTCACCGCAACCTCAGCATCCTGGGTTTAGGCAATTCTTCTGCCTCAGCCTCCTAAGTAGCTGGGATTATAGGCACACGCCACCATGTCCAGCTAATTTTTTGTATGTTTAGTAGAGACCTGGTTTCACCATGTTGACCAGGATGGTCTCGATCTCTTGACCTCGTGATCCACCCGCCTCGGCCTCCCAAAGTGTTGGGATTACAGGCGTGAGCCACCGCACCCGGACCAGGAACTTCATTTATTACAGGCGTTAAAAGTTTCACTGTAAAACTTTACATTTTGATAATTTTGTTTTAGTAAATACGTTGACAGACTTGCTTGGGTTTAAAATAAATAGTAAAAGGTAAAAACTTTATTTATTTATTTTACTATTTCTTTTATTTATTTATTTATTTTGAGATGGAGTCTTGCTCTGTTGCCCAGGCAAGAGTGCAATGCCGTGCTCTTGGCTCACCGCAACCTCTGACTCCCAGGTTCAAGTGATTCTCTGCCTCAGCCTCTCAAGTAGCTGGGATTACAGGTGTCCATCACCATGCCTGGCTAATTTTTGTATTTTTAAGTAGAAATGGGGGTTTCACCATGTTGGTCAGGCTGGTCTCGAACCCCTGATCTTGTGATCCACTGACTTCAACCTCCCAAAGTGCTGGGATTACAGGTGTATACCATTGTGCTACACTCTCAGTTATGAGAATATATTTCCTGTCTTTTTTTGAGATGGAGTCTTGCTCTTTCACCAGGTTGGAGCTCAGTGGCCCAATCTTGGCTCACTGCAACATCCACCTCCCTGGTTCAAGAGATTCTTCCACCTCAGCCTCCCGAGAAGCTGGGACTACAGGTGCAGGCCACCATGCCCAGCTAGTTTTTTGTATTTTTAGTAGAGGCTGGGTTTCACCATGTTGGCCAGAATGGTCTCGATCTCTTGACCTTGTGATCCACCCACCTCGGCCTCTCAGCGTGCTGGGGTTACAGGCATGAGCCACCACGCTTGGCCCTATTTCCTGTAAGCCCTCCTTACCCACCACTAAAACGGGATTATCTGCTGTTCTGGTTACAAATATTAAACAAGGAGTATTTGTTTGGCTCCATGACCTTGAGGCGTTTTAAAATCTTCAGGTTGAATTTGGAATTGATTCATTTTAGAATTGTTCTCCCAATATTTGTTAGATAGCAGGACTGTGATAGATTAAAACATCTTAGCAGGCCTCCTGCTCTCCCTCTCCCAGCTTAAAAATAATTTTTTTTTTTTTTTTGGAGATGGAGTCTTCCTCTGTTGCCCAGACTGGAGTGCGGTGGCACAATCTCAGCTCACTGTAACCTCTGCCTCCCAGGTTCAAGGAATTCTCCTGCCTCAGCCTCCCAAATAGCTGGGATTATAGTCATCTGCCACCACACCCGGCTAATACTGGTATTTATTTATTTATCCATTTATTTTTTGAGATGGAGTCTTGTTCTTTCGCTCAGGCTGGAGTGCAGTGGCACAATCTTGGCTTACTGCAATCTCTGTCTCCCAGGTTCAGATGATTCTCCTGCCTCAGCCTCCTGAGTAGCTGGTATTACAGGTGTGTGCCTCCATACCTAGCAATTTTTTTTTTCATTTTTAGTAGAAACATAGTCTCCCTTTGTTGGTCCCTAGACTGGTCTAGGTCTTCTGGGCTCAAGCAATCCTTCAACCTCATCCTCCCGTAGTACTGGGATTACAGGTGTGAGCCTCCACACCTGGCTAATATTCTGCTTTTTTTCTTAAAAACTACGTTTTAGGTGGGTGCAGTGGCTAGTGCCTGTAATTCCAGCACTTTGGGAGGCTGAGGCAGGCAGATTCTTTGAGCTCAGGAGTTTGAGACCAGCTTGGCCAATGTGACAAAATCCCATTTCTATTAAAAATACAAAAAGAGGCTGGGTGTGGTGGCTCAAGCCTGTAATCCCAGCACTTTGGGAGGCCGAGGAGGGTGGATCATGAGGTCAAGAGATCAAGACCATCCTCGTCAACATGGTGAAACCCCGTCTCTACTAAAAATACAAAAAATTAGCTGGGCATGGTGGCACGTGCCTGTAATCCCAGCTACTCAGGAGGCTGAGGCAGGAGAATTACTTGAACCCTGGAGGCGGAGGTTGCGGTGAGCTGAGATTGCACCATTGCACTCCAGCCTGGGTAACAAGAGCGAAACTCTGTCTCAAAAAAAAAAAATACAAAAAGATTAGCTGGGCATGGTGGGGGTTACCTGTAATCTCAGCTACTTGGGAGGCTGAGGCAGGAGAATTGCTTGAACCTGGGAAGTGGAGGTTGCAGTGAGCTGAGGTCACGCCATTGCACTCCAGCCTGGGTGACAGAAACTCTGTCTCAAAACAACAACAACAACTAAGTTTTATTTAATAGTTATAAAGGAAGCCAAGTGAAAAATTACTTAAACCAAGTGTGTAGTACATTAAGTTATGAGGCATCTATAATAATGAAACTTGGAATTTAGGGGAGCATATGCATGTTTTCAGCATATTTAAACCTGAAAATCGTTCATTTGAAGAACTTAATGCTGGGTGCAGTGGCGTGTGCCTGTAGTCCCAGCTACTCGGGAGGCTGAGGTGGGAGGAGTTCTGGGCTGTAGTGTGCTGTGCCGATATGGTGTCCGTACTAAGTTTGGCATCAATATGGTAATCTCCCGGGAGCAGGGGACCACGAGGTTGCTTAAGGAGGGATGAACTGGCCAAGGTCAGAAATGGAGCAGGTCAAAACTCCCATGCTGATCAGTAGTGGGATTGTACCTATGAATAGCCACTGTGCTCCACCCTGGGCAACATAGCAAGACCTCGTCTCTTTAAAAAAAAAAAAAAAAAGGAACTGGCCGGGCGTGGTGGCTCACGCCTATAATCCCAGCACCTTTGGGAGGCTGAGGCGGGTGGGTCAAGAGATCGAGACCATCATGGTCAACAAGGTGAAACCCCGTCTCTACTAAAAATACAAAAATTAGCTGGGCATGGTGGTGCGTGCCTGTAGTCCCAGCTACTCGGGACGCTGAGGCAGGAGAATTGCTTGAACCCAGAAGGCGGAGGTTGCGGTGAGCCGAGATCGTGCCATTGCACTCCAGCCTGGGTAACAAGAGCAAAACTCTGTCTCAAAAAAAAAAAAAAAAAAAGGAACTTGATAATCAGTGCTCTTAAATTTGTTTTTTCCTTTATGCTAGTTGGAAATGGAGGATGAAGATACAATTGATGTGTTCCAACAGCAGACGGGAGGTGTCTACTGAAAAGGGAATCTGCTTCTTTACTTCAGAACTCTGTTCTATAAAGACCAAGATTACATTCTCAATTAGAAAACTGCAATTTGGTTCCACCACATCCTGACTACTACAGTATAGTTTTCTCTATTCTTTCATTTTCCCCTTCCCCATTCCTTTATTGTACATAAAGTAACTGGTATATGTGCACAAGCATATTGCTTTTTTTTTTTTTTAACAGCCAATGATATGTTTTGATTGACATCAAGTGGAGATGGGATGGGGAAAAATACTGATTCTGTGAAAATACCCCCTTTCTCCATTAGTGGCATGCTCATTCAGCTCTTATCTTTATATTCCAGTAAGTTATTTTGCTCTCACTGTTTTAACAAAAAAACAACATAAAAATCCTTGCATACCTTGTTTGATTGGAGACTTTTAATGTTTTTCATTTATCATTGTAAAACCAAGGACAATTTTATAACTTTTTTGTACGTAGCTGTTACATGTAGGGCAATCTGTCTTTAAGTAGGGATAAATTACTTAAAACAAAAAGAATCCTAGATAGTTTTCCCTTCAAGTCAAGCGTCTCGTTGTTTAAATAAACTTCTTGTTTAAAATGAGCTGTTTTCTTTATTCTGAGAAATATTAAATAGAAAATTGAGGCTTAGAAAAAACATAAATAGGGCTGCTTAGGAGTAACATTTCAAGAAGGAAGTAAAGCTACTTGGTATTTCTGACAGACTGATACTAAACAAAGAATAACCTATAAATGACTATCAGCAGAAGTTTTTGCTTTCACTTTGCTCCAAAACTTTCTCTAGATCCCATGTTAATATGCAAGTATACTAGCAGAAAAATTGGGTCATAATATTGTGGATTTCCGGGTATTTTTTGCATATTAAATGAGGCAGAGTATAGAGTATAGGGTAGCACATGTGGCAAGGAAAAAGTTCTAATTTGGCCTTTGTTGCTGACAAAACACTGAACCATTCTAGCCCTCACTTTAATAAGTAGATATTCCCTAACTAAAATAAAGTTTTTGTTCCTTATTTAAGGATTTTTTTGAGATGGAGTTTTGCTCTTATTGCCCAGGCAGAAGTACAGTGGAGTGATCCCCATTCGCTGCAACCTCCTCTCGGGTTCAAGTGATTCTCCTGCCTCAGCCTCCTGAGTAGCTGGGATTATAGGCGTGCACCACCACACCCAGCTAATACATTTTTTTTTCAAGTCCATATTTTTTGTAATTTTAGTACAAATAGGGTTTCATCATGTTGGCAAGGCTGGTTTTGAATTCCTGATCCACTCACCTCGGCCTCCCAAAGCTCAGGGCTTAGAAGCGTAAGCTACAGCTCCCGGCTTATTGTTTCTTTTTTTTTTTTTAATTGCCCTCTCAACCCAGCTTTTCCCGACTCCAGGAAGAACGGGGAAGAGAAAGCCCATCAGGTTCTTCTTTTCCCTTTTATTTATTTATTTATTTATTTATTTATTTTTTTAATTTTTTATTGGATTATAGGTTTTGGGGTACATGAGCAGAGCATGCAAGACAGTTGCGTAGGTACACACATGGCAGTGTGCTTTGCTTTTCTTCTCCCCTTAACCCACATTTGGCATTTCCCCTTTTATTTATTTATTGTTTTAATAAAGATGGGGTTTCACCATGTTGGTCAGGCTGGTTTTGAACTCCCGACCTCAGGTGATCCACCTGCCTTGGCCTCCAAAGTGCTTGGATTACAGGCGTGAGCCACCATGCCCGGCTCTTTCTTGGATTTTTTTTTTTTTGAGAGGGTATGCCGTTGTTGGCTAGTCTGGAATGGTGCAGTGGCATGATCTCAGCTCACTGTGACCTCCACCTCTGGGGCTTAAGAAATCCTCCCCGCTCAGCATACTGAGTAGCTGTGCATGCCACCATAGCTGATTAATTTCTGTATCTTTTATAGAGATGGAGTTTCGTTTGGGCCGTTCTTAAACCCCTGATCTCAAATGATCCGCCTGCCTTGGCCTCCTAATGTGCTGGGATTACAGGCATAAGCCACTATGCCCAGTCCCTTTTAACTGTATTTTTTAATTTTTGAGACAGCGTTTTGTTCTTGTTGCCCAGGCTGGAATGCAATGGGATCATCTCAACTTACTGCAACCTCCACCTCCCAGGTTCAAGCTGTTCTGCCTTACCCTCTAGAGTAGCTGGGACTAAAAATGTGCGCCACCATGCCTGGCTAATTTTGTGTTTTTAGTGGAGATGGGGTTTCACCATGTTGGTCAGGCTGATCTGAAACTCCTGACCTCAGGTCATCCACCTGCCTCAGCCTCCCAAAGTGCTAGGGTTACAGGCGTGAGCCACCATGCCTGGCCTCACTGCCATTTTATAGATGAGGAAGCCAAGTTCTTGAAGAGTAAAATAGATGGTGACAAACTATAAACCTGGGACCAGAGACAGTATCCTGATGCTTGTTGATGGTTTTTGTCCATATTGTCTTCTACCAGTATGATCTGCCGTCAAGTCACCATGTAGTATGTGTTGGATTCCTTAATCCACTGTATCTTTGTTTACATAACAGCCTTTACATTCCCTGCATCTATAGCAAATGAGCATTGCCAGTGACAACAGGAATTCAGGATTTTTCTTACATTTGTATATGTATGAATTTTACTCTTGAATCAGCTAGACTTGTTTTCCTATATGTACAAGCAATTCCCTGCCTCAGCCTGAGTAGCTGAGATTACAGGCACACGCCAGCATGCCTGACTAATTTTTGTATTTGTAGTAGCAACAGAGTTTCACCATCTTGGCCAGGCTGGTCTTGAGCTCCTGACCTCGTGATCCATCCACCTTGCCCTCCCAAATTGCTGGGATTACAGGTGTGAGCCACCGTGCCCGGCCAACTAATTGATTCTGGATTGTGGTTTTGAATTAGAATCCTCTGGCAAGTTTTTAAAAAATACCAAAGCCTGGACTCTACCCCCAAAAATGTATTTTCAAAGCAATATGGAATTGAAAATCACCTCTGGGAGGCATCCTCAGAAGTTAAGCACTTTATGGTGAAGATTAAATGAGAGAATGTGTTTTTTTTTTTAACATTGCTGTGAAAATATTAATGTATGCTTTTATCTTTGTTTTTGAGATGGAGTTTCGCTCTGGTTGCTCATGCTGGGGTGCAATGGCATGATTGCGACTCACTGCAACCTCCACCTCCTGGGTTCAAGTGATTCTTCTGCCTCAGTCTCCCAAGTAGCTGGGATTATAGGCATGCACCACCATGCCTGGCTAATTTTTTGTGTTTTTAGTAGAGACGGAGTTTCTGCACCTTGGTCAGGCTGGTCTTGACCTCCCGACCTCAGGTAATCTGCCTGCCTTGGCCTCCCAAAATGTTGTGATTACAGGTGTGAGCCACTGTACATGTTTTTTGTTTTTGTTTTTTTTTTGAAACAGGATCTCACGCTTGCCCAGACTGGACTACAGTGGAGTGATCTCAGCTCACTGTGGCTTTTGCCTCCCGGGCTCAAACGATTCTCCTGCCTCAGCCTCCTGAGTAGCTGGGATTACAGGAGTTGTCCACTACTGCCTGGCTAATTTTTTGTATTTTAGTAGAGATGGGGTTTTACCATGTTGGGCAGGCAGGTCTTGAACTCCTGACCTCAAGTGATCCACCCACCTCAGCCTCTCAAAGTACTGGGATTATAGGCATGAGCCACCATGCCCAGGTAATGTGTGTTTTAGATGCCTAACATGGTGTCCCCATGTAAGCTTTTTTTAAAATTCTGTTTCTGAAACGAGTCTCACCCTGTCTTTGGTATCCTAAGGAGCAAATCATCCAACCACAGGATGCATTAGATTTCTGATTACCTAAATGGTGACTTGAAAGTTCTGGATGTGGTAAGAAATAGAGGCTTACCTCCTGGGGACTACGGGCTTGGTCCAGACTGCAGCACTACGGTAAAACAGATAATAAAAAGAGTCACAAATTTTTTGGTGTTTCAGTGTGTATAAAAGTTATGTTCACCATGCATGGTGGCTCACACCTGTAATCCCAGCACTTTGGGAGGCCAAAGTGGGCAGATCACCTAAAGTTGGGAGTTCTAGACCAGCCTGATCATCATGGAGAAACCCTCTCTACTAAAAATACAGAATTAGCCAGGTGCAGTGGCTCATGCCTGTAATACCAGCACTTTGGGAGGCCAAGGCAGGCGGATCACAAGGTTAAGAGATCAAGACCATCCTGGCCAACATAGTGAAACCCTGTCTACTAAAATCCGAAAATTAGCTGGGCATGGTGGCATGCCCTGTATTCTAGCTGCTTGGGAGGCTGAGGCAGGAGAATTGCTTGAACCTGGGAGGCAGAGGTTGTAGTAAACCAAGATTGAGCCATTGCATTCCAGCCTGACCCCTGGCAACAGAGCCAGACTGTCTCAAAAAAAAAATACAAAATTAGGTGTGGTGGTTTATGCCTATAATCCCAACTAGTCAGGAGGCTGAGGCAGAATTGCTTGAACCTGGGAGACAGGTTGTGGTAAGCCGAGATCACGCCATTACACTCCAGCCAGGGTAACAACAGCGAAACTCCGTCTCAAAAAAAAAGAAAAAGAAAAGAAGTACGTAGATTAGCTGCCTGTAATCCCAACTACTTGGGAAGCTGAGGCAGGAAAATTGCTCAAACTTGGGAGGTGGAGGTTGCAGCGAGCCACTATTGTGCCACTTCACTCCAGCCTGGGCAATAGAGCATGACTCCATCTCAAAAAAAAAAAAATGTTATATTCAGCTTTGGCAATATAGTGAGACCCTGTCTGTGCAAAAAACAAAAGCCAGGTATAATGTTGCACGCCTGTAGTTCCAGCTACTCTGAAAGCTGGTGAGAAGATTACCTGAACCCAGGAGATACAAGGTGGCAGTGAGCTGTGATTGTGCCATAGTAGTCCAGCTTGGTTGATAGGATAAGATCCTGTCTCAGAAAAAAAAAGCTTATGCTGTAATTAGGTGTTCAATAGCATTATGTCTTTAAAAAGTAATACATATGACCGGGCACAGTGGTTCACGCCTGTAATCCCAGCACTTTGGGAGGCCAAGGTGGGCGGATCATGAGGTCAGGAGATCTGAGACCATCCTGGCCAACATGGTGAAACCTTGTCTCTACTAAAAATACAAAAGAATTAGTTGGGTGTGGTGTCACACAGCTGTAGTCCCAGCTACTCGGGAGGCTGAGGCAGGAGAATTGCTTGAACCCAGGAGGTGGAGAGTGCAGTGAGCCGAGATCGTGTCACTGCACTACAGCCTGGGCGACAGTGCGAGACTCCATCTCAAAAAGTAAAAAAGCGGCTGGGCGTGGTGGCTCACGCCTGTAATCCCAGCACTTTGGGAGGCCAAGGCAGGTGGATCATGAGGTCAAGAGATCGAGACCATCCGGGTCAACATGGTGAAACCCCGTCTCTACTAAAAACACAAAAAATCAGCTGGGGCGTGGTAGTGCGTGCCTGTAATCCCAGCTATTCAGGAGGCTGAGGCAGGAGAATTGCCTGAACCCAGGAGGCGGAGGTTGCGGTGAGCTGAGATCGCGCCATTGCACTCCAGCCTGGGAAACAAGAGCGAAACTCCGTCTCAAAAAAAAAAAGTAAAAAAGCAATACATACT